TAAGAGTGCCATCAGGTGCTCTATCCTGAAGCCATACATGTTTATTTCTCCTTCGTGTTGTGTAAGGAGTTCGAATATGGCTTGCATTGTGGAGTCATTCGACACGTTTGTATAAAGGGCGGTAACGTCGAAGGACTCCATCACGCACGCGCTGTTGGGCTGCGCAGCACGTAGACGATCCAGAAACATGTGAGGGGCACATTATACTTCCACGTGATTTCTGTGCGGTTGGTCTCTACGTGACATACTTAGTGGAAACCTCATAGAAAGCGGTGAGTGCGCAGAGCTGTGTTCAAAGTGATTGAAATCTTGGTTTGGAGTTTCTTTGTTTGGTTATGGAGGCGTCTGGCCGAGTGACTTGCTATCAAGTTGACCTTTCCAGGCTCTGAAGAAGGCGAAATCCGCCGAAACGTCAGCTTAATCGTGAACAAACAATAGTAACACCTCGCGTTTGCTCAACAAAAATACGAAGAAAATCACTTGATCAATGCTGAGGTTAATAGAAAGTCGGTCGTGGCAGTCACCGAGCATATTTCCTGTCTACGAGAGCTTCGATGTTCGCGTAGAAAAGTCGAACTCATATTCTGCGCTGTGGAACCGTCACCTGTTTTTTAAGGTTTCATTAACGAGTGCGAAGGATGCATATGTGGCTTCGCACTGTTTTAAAGAATTTTCTTGTGTCGATCAATGCCGCTGCCAAATTCTCCTTGCACTTTCAATGCGCTACTCTAATCAGAGATCTGTTTGTGAAGAAATGAATCCTACCAAATTATCGCCTGTACTGTGGTAGACGCACTGATCTCCCTCATATAGGGATCTCATGCCGGTTAGTGGAGAGGCAGCGGGGCGCCTCCCTGGTGGTGGCGGATGTACGGTTGATCGTGGACAGAAAGCGGTTGATCGAAACAGAAAGTCGCGGGTGGATCCAGTCTGCTTTAAAAGAGCTTCTTCTGAAGCATTCAGAAACCGCATCCTCAATACTCAAATTCGTCAGTGCTCTAGGCTTTGTTGGACTCATATTCTGACAAAGTAGACCTTTGAGCTTTGTCGGATCCCAGCGTTATCTTGCCGTTTGGTGTGACCGACAGTTCATTAAAATAACAAAAAGACTGGAAATCCCATTTTTTTTCTGAACTGTCTACACAAGAAATGTCTAAAGTTGCTCGGTAAGAAATTTTCACCACCATACTGATGGCATCAGTAGGCAATGAATGTGAACCTTCCACTCAGCTTCAGTATATAATGAAAAGTCTCCGGCGCCTACTTCTTGCTTCACAGTTTTTCTTCTTCTGCCTAGCAAATCAAAAACATAGTCGGTGATCTGCAATAGTCAGCCACTTTATGAGTCTTTTTTTGAGCGATGAGGAAAGCTGGTTAAGCACCTTCGTACTGTTTTAATGAATTTCTCAGCAGCGAATTTTTTAATTTCTCAGCCGATAATTTCTCAGCATATCGGCGCAAAATTTTCCTTGCACTTTCCGTGTAGCACTATAATTGGAGAGCTACTCGTGGGAAAATCCCATGTTACCAAGTTTTCGCTTGTGTCGAAGTGAATAGAGTCGCCTTGCAGCACACACATGGACCTCCGTTCGGTAACGTCTCGCGGGCTCAAGGAGCCTTCCATCCGTCTATGCTCCGCATATGATATCGGAAACAAGCCAAATTTTCATTCTGTTACCCCTAACAATTCTAGGCGAAGTCACATAAACGGTAAACCCCTTAGCGACTGATCAACGTCGGAATCTTTATCGTTTTTAATCCAAATTAAACCACAGCCGTTGTGTAACCAACTTTTAAAAAGCATCCACCATTCTCTCTGGGGCTTCAACCATTCAAAGATTAAGATGATCTCCTTCCAACGTCTTCGATACCTCATCGGATTTCAGGTTTTTCTGTAGCGAGATATTTTTGCTTTAGTTTGCAGGAATTTCCAAACTCTCACGCCAGTTTTGATCCAATAGGGAAATAAGCCGCTTCTGGACCAAAGCACACATCAGATAGTGCAAAACCGTTTCATCAACGATGTTGGGTGAATAGCTGGAAAGGACATTTTAATTGGATTACTAAGTTTTCTATTGCCATCAAAACTACGTTTCTTTCTTTTCCATTTTGTCGGTGCGCGGCAACGGAGCGGAAAACATGTCTGAGTAACAGCAAGAACAGTTGCAGTAAAGGGCTAAATTGAAAGGCATTTCCTATATTCTTTGCAGATGAGGAGCTATTTCGAAAATTTAATGTCGTTTAGAGTTACTGACACTATTGAGAATACACCTTTTTATTTTCTGCCTACTATAATTTCACGACAGGGTGCTAGGCGAAATACAACCACAACGTTGCTGAGATATTTCCAAAACTCTGGACCGCAGGTGTCTATGGTGGAGAACGAACGCGCTATTGTCCTTTCCCGGGAGTAACGCGTTCACCACCACACCATGCGGGTCCTTAGTTTCGCCTCTCAGCAATCACCCGTCAGCGGGACTGTGGCAAAGATGGATAGAAATAGCTGAGAGAGAGGCGAAACTAAGGACCCGCATGGTGTGGTGGTGAACGCGTTACTCCCGGGAAAGGACAATAGCGCGTTCGTTCCCCACCATAGACACCTGCGGTCCAGAGTTTTGCAAATATCTCAGCAACGTTGTGGTTCTATTTCGCTTAGTACCCTGCCGCGAAATTATATTCCGGATTAATTCCAAGAATCCGAAAATGAACCGCAGGGAGGAATGCCTCATTATCACTCGTGGTATTGGGCATTATATAAGCCTGTTATTTTGATGAGATGGGCACAATACGATTCCGTGTGAACTCTGTGCGGTTTGCCTCCAAGTGACGTATTTAGTGGAAGACTCATAGAAAGCGGTGAGCGTGCAAAGACTCTGTGTTCAATGTGACTGAAATTTTGGTTCAACATCTTCTCTGTTTGGTTATTGATGTGTTTGGCCGTGTAGATTGCAGTCAACTTGACCTTTCTAGGCTCCGAGGAAGGCGAAATCCGCCGAAACGTCAGCTTACACGTAAATAAAGAAATAAAGTAACACTTCGTGTTTGGCGAGCAGAAGTAGAAAGAGTTAAGATATGTTTGTTGATAGTTTGAAAGCTGAATTACTTCCGATCACTCAGAATTAGCTCTGGGCAAGGGAAAGTGGTGAACTATGCAGGGATTACAAGTAGAGTCAAAAGTTTCAAAAGTTTCAAAAGTTGTCATCTGAATAGGTCTAGCATGTGCTATCGCCATTGTGGTAATGTCACGACAAGTACTCCTTGGACGTGGAGGATATTGACCACTCAATTAAATATTTAACTGAATGCAGACTTTTCACGTGATTCTTGCATACCACACTCAACAATCCAAATTGCTACGCAGTTAATCTACCTTCCGCGGTTTTTTCCTGTTGGGGTAATTACGTGCAAGATCCACCGCTATTCCTTTCCAAACTCAAGAAGTCCAAGAACAATGTTATGTATTTGGCCATGTGCCGCCCAAACGATGTAAACAGCAATAATTCGCGCATCTTGAGCGTATTTAATGTTTATAGTCATAAGCCGAATATCATCGCGAAGAACTGGAGGTCGCTCTTCTTAAGCAGGGAACTCCAGATTTGGCAGGGATTTTAAGATCTGAGCAAAAGTTCTCGTTCACGATAGAATGGCCACAAATGTCGATTCGAAACCGTCGTTACACTTTGTTTTATGCAAACACGAGGAAGACCACTTGACACAACAAGAACTTTTTAAGCTGGTATCGATGATTTCTAACTGCACAAAAAGCAGTAGGTCACCATTACTCGGTTAATTGAATCTAATCACGCGCAAGAAAATTACAGGGATCGCTGTTCCTGGTTGCTTCGAAAGAGCAATATCGTAGTTGCAGATTTCTCTGATCATCGAAAAGTGCCAGCAGCGGAGGTGGGGCCAGGGAGGGGAGAACCGCGCTAGGAAATCGCGCGGAAATGCGTTTTAAGCGCGAAAAACGACCACCCACTCGATGTGGACGAGTAGTCCGTCCGGACGGTATAACACGCCTCCTAACGCGATTTTTGCGCGGTTTACGCCATTTGCAGCGTACTGTAAGCGTGGACGAGTCATCCGCATGCGGACGAGTTGTCCATTAGAAACCAAAAAACGCGATCTTCGCATTTCCGACATTATTTCGAGCCGACTATCACTAATATTGTAAAACTGCTTTATAGTCTGTAAAAATGTCGAGAACTTAATTTACACTACTCCGATTTTCGGGGTAATTTGAGGTATTGCTAGTGTTTCGATCCATTAAGGTCTAAACGCTGCTGATTCTGATGCGCCGAGATCCGATTTATTATATTCTGAACACTTTAGACCTTAATGGATGCTATAACTGTTTTTATTGTCTCTAGAAACTTCCTGGCACTAATTACCCACGAAGGCCAACATGTGATTGGGGGTTCGCTTGCTGGTTGAGGACTTCTGGTCTCCTTCATGAACGTGGTTGAATAAAGGTTCAGCCGATTCTCTCTTCAATCATGGGATACCCGTGCTATGAACCTCTAACGTCTTGCGAATTGCAGGCAACTCCGCAAGCCTGGCAATACTTCCGACAATGCAAGGACTAGTTGGTTTATAGGGGCGTCGTACTATGGTCTTGTGCATTAAATGGTATCACACTGCACTACCTGCACCTCACAAACACATTACAATTGGAGAATCACCCTTGTACCGCCAAGATTTTTCAAATAGAGATTCTGCCAGTTTCTCCATCCATATTTGACTAGTTCTCCTAAGAAGGAGACAGTCGAGCCAAGACATTTTATTTCACGCTACGAAGCTACAAATTCGTTGGAAGAACACATATACAACTAACACTAGGACCTCACTGTACATGTTATACACATATAGTTTGAAAAAAAGGACTAGAGAGAACTGTATAACATGTGTATGTTGCATCAGTTCGCACAACAATTCACCAGTCCAAGAATATCCTACCATAGGACAAACATTAAATAAAAACGATCAGTGTACACCTCCACTTAGAATTTTGCTGGTTCTGGTGCCGGCTTCGTTTTCATGCCAGTTAGCAGCGACTTTATCTCGCCGATAGCCTTCGCTGGATTCAGGTTCTATAAGACAACAATTATTCATAAGAGTGGTTAAACGTTTGTTCTAGTAGAGTAAAACGCGCTATTACCCTTCCGGTGGGAACGAAAGATCCGCATGGTGTGGTTTTCAACGCGTTAGCCTCCGAAAAAGATAATATCGCGTTCGTTACCTGCACTACGGAGATTTGCAAATATCTCAGAGTGCTCAGAGTTAAGCATCATATGGATGAAAAAACCACGGATCTCCCTCATATGAGGGATCTCACCCCGGTTAGTCACGAGGCTACGTGGCGCGTCCCATGTGGCAGATAGGGGGTTAATCGGACCAAAAGCGACCTTTGCTTCCCTGAGAGGCAGATGGATCCAGGAGATGGACTGTCTGTTTCTGCTGCGCTGATTTGGCACATACTTTCTGTATTTGCTGGGCGTATTCATGCATGCGTGTGTGGGTGCGTTCTTGCTTGTACGGATTGTATTCTACAAGTCAATTCGGCCAAAAGCCTGCAATCAAGAAACCGGGAAGTATATCAGAGGCGGTTAGGAGTTGCCTCCAACAAATAAGATCCATGTCCACCCTGAGAGAGCCTGGCAAGCTACCCGTGAGTACACCCAGCCCCACGTTCAGAGCTCAGCAAGCTATACGTGGGTATCAAAAATGCTAAACACAGTAAAAAACGGGCCATATTCTCCTGACCCCGTAAGAGCCCCCAATTTCGCAGCGTTGGGTAGCACGAGAACGGGGAGGCTGCTAAAATCTCAGGGCCAATGGAAGCTCGCTGGATTTCAGAGAACTATGGTGACGACCTGTACCTACAATGAACGTACATTTGCATCTGAGCCCTCGATAGAAGACTTGCTCATGTAAGCAAGTAGGATAAGGTACGACTCCACCGGCCTGGCCGGCAAGAGACGACAGCGCCCATTCAACGCCGTATATGACACCGGAAAAAAAAACTGTTCCTCGGAACATGCTACAATAGGACAGTAGAGGTGTCGCGGCGTCGGCGTTCTCGTCAACACGAGTTTGTCCATGAATATCGAATCATTCAAACAACTTACAACCCGCATCGGACGTTTACGATTAAAAAGACGTGGATCAATTCCGGCTTTGACAATCTTCCCCGTTTACGCTCCCACATTAAACTATGACGAAGAAGTCGAAGCGCTCTATACGGACTTGGGGAAGTTCTACAGAGAAGACCACACTTTCTTCAAGGTCATCATTGGAGATATCAACGCCAAGGTTGGACCAAGAGGAATGTCTGAAGAACGTCACATTGGGACTCACGGATTAGAATGGAACGAACAGGGTGAGCAGCCATCTGAGTTTATCATGGCGATCAAAACAATCCATGGTAACTCGCAATTCCAAAAGCCCCATCCTCATCGCTGGACGTGGGAGTCTCCCAATGGAGAGTACCACAACGAAATAGACCACATCATAGTAAATAGAAGGTTTTGCCAAACCGATGTCACTGCTGTACAAAATTCTACACTGGACCAGACCACCGTCTCGTTCGTGCAAGATTCTATTCCTCGCCGAGAGGAGAAAAAGCCGATACACTCCAAAACTGAAGTCCTGTAACCACCTCATACTAGGACTCACTGAATTCATTACCCGGCTGTTGGGAAGATGCCGTTGTCGATAACATCGACGAAGAATACGATCGGCTCATTCAACATCTTCACGCTAGCGCTATGAAAGCTCAGAGTTCGAAAGTCACCAAGAGAAGTCTGTCTCCGGAGACGCTAGAACTGATGCGCCAGCGCAGAATCGCAGGAGCTGCAGGCAACCGCGAAATAACGTCCGAACATGAAAAACAATGCAGACAGGCGACAAAAGAAGATCTTAGAGAGAGAAGAGCAGCAGTAATGGCCGAAGCTGTAGAGGCTGAGAAAAGCACTCGCGAACCCCGCTGAAGCTTTGCCAATTACAAGACCAAGATAATTGCACTCCGACGCCCAGACTGAACAGACACAACGTCCAGAGATGCAGTGAAGAGAATCATTCACGAATACTACTCGGATCTCTTCGATAACAACGTCCACCTTCCGTTATATGAAATAAAGGAGGATGGATATGCTGTGCCACCGGTTCATCCTTCCCAAATCCGATATGCCACTTCGTCGATGAAAAATCGAACAAAACCAGTTCTGGACAGGATAAGACCAGAACTCCTGAAGAACCTTCTGCCAGTCCTCGTAAACACACTGGCTCGGCTCTTCACACGTTACCAGTCTGAATGCAAGGCCCCTACTCAGTGGAAGATCAGAACGACCGTGCTATTGTTCAAGAAGGGTGACCTGCACGATATCGGCAACTATCGTCCAATCTGCTTACTGTCTGTCGTTTACAAACCTTTCACTCGAGTCATCCTAAACAGGATTGACAGAACACTAGACGAAAGACAGCCATGTGAACAAGCAGGGCTTCGAAAAGGATTTAGTACGGTGGACCACATTCACACGGTAACAAGGCTCATTGAAGTATCGCGAGAGTACAAAAGACCGCACTGTCTCACTTTTATCGATTTACAGAAGGCCTTTGATTCAGTTGAGATAGAAGCAGTCTTGGAAGCCCTTGGTAGTCAAGAAGTCCCTACTAGCACATAAAGATGCTCCGTGAGCTGTACAAAAATTTCACAACCAAGGTATCACCATTCTACAACGATATTAACATTGACGTCAAAAGAGGGGTCACGCAAGGCGATACCATCTCGCCAAAATTGTTTACCGCCACACTCCAAAACGTTATGCGAACATTGGAATTGGATAATATGGGAGTGAAAATCGATGGAAGGCAGTTACACCATCTTCGCTTTGCTGATGACATCCTCCTTATTACACCAAACATTAGCCAAGCGGAACGTATGCTTGACAGCTTTCATAAAGCCTGTAGAAAGATTGGACTTAGACTTAATCTCACAAAAACGATGTTCATGAAGAACGGATTGGTTTAGCATGCCCCATTCACGCTCAACTGAGCGAATATCTCCGAATGCTCCAGTTACATCTATTTGGGTCAGGAAATCAATACGATAGACGACCTAGCTCCAGAGCTGAGCACAAGAAAACGAGCGACTCGGGGAGCTTTTAAGAGCATCGGGGATGTAGTGAAGAGAACAAAGAACACCCGACTCGCCCAGGTTTTCAACCCAAGGGTACTTTCTGCCCTAACGTATATTTCAGAAACCTAGTCGCTGCATAAGCAGGATGAAAAGTCACTCAGCGTTATCGAATGCGCAGTCGAAAGGAGGACGCTAGGAGTATCCTGTTCCACACAACTAAGGGATGGGATCCGAAGCTCCGATTTGCGTCAACGATCAAAAATCAAAAATGCCGTTCTGTGCGCCAAACAGTCGAAGATAAGGTGGGCCGGACAAGTAATGCGCATGAATGACAACCGATGGACAAGAGCCGTTAGTGACTGGATTCCTCTAAATGTGAAACGTACTGCAGGAAGACCACCGACCCGATGGTCAGAGTTCTTCACAAAGAGCCTTTAAGAAAGATACGATGTTCGACGAGTCCCTAGAGCGGTTAAAATCCACTGGGCTACTCTTGCACACGACAGGGAAAAATGCAAGATTTACTGCCGCCCGCCCGAGTCACTCTACGATCAATGGGAATACAGGTTATACAGGTGATGGATGAAAAAAAGTTAAACAATTGTCAAACCCCTTTTATGGTCACATGAGAAAAAGCCCAGAGAAAACAACAATCTAGCCCACTTTGATCGACACTTCTTCAGGGCGCGTTGGAACCACCACACCGTTACTGCCTTTTTAGTACTTCCACAAATTATGTCTAACATTGGCTCCAAAAATACTAAGCGACCGACACTCTTCTAATTTCCACCTGCAGCAACTTGTTTACTTTAACTTTCTCAGTAAATCCACAGGAAATTCACCTAATGAGATGCCTCGAATTATTAAGCTCTATTACTAACAGTGTACACTATAGAAAATTAAATAAATACAAGTTTTGTAAGTGTTAAGATCTATTAGTTCAAAAACGTGCCACTTCACCTTAGGACATGTTTTCGTGCAATTCATGATAGTGTGACATTTGAAGGCGGAGAAAGAGTCGTGCATACGGTGAAGACGTTCCATGGCGTAATCATCACGGGAGTCTATGATCCATCTGAAATACACTGTTGCTCACAAAACAAGATATGAGCATCGAAGCTGAACATAACAGATCATAAGACTCTCGAAATTGTGTAATTTCGTAATTTACTGAGAGAAATTTCCATTACTGATTCCTTATTCATCCGGTCAGTGATAAACAACTTACTGTTTCCTTGATGAGCAAACACGAGGTTGCTAAAGCAATGTTCATTTAACGATAGGTAACGTTTCGGCAAATTTAGCCTTCTTCAGGACATGGAAAATTCAAGTTCATGTAACTGCCACGACCGACTTTCTATTAACCTCGGCATTGATCAAGTGATTTTCTTCGTATTTTTGTTGAGCAAAGAAACAAACAACAAAGAATAGTAACACCTCGCGTTTGCTCAACAAAAATACGAAGAAAATCAAGTTCATGTGAAATGTGCGATGCATCTGGCCAAATATTTCCATGACCTCAAACGAAAAACCCGAAACCTAGATTTCAGTCGCACTGTAAGCAGCATTTCAGACACCCACTGTTTTCTATAAGCCTCCCATCCATTAATGGACACCAACCGCAAAGTTTACATGGGTGAATGGACAATGTGTTCCTCTCACACTGAAAAATCTTTTGAGGTAACTAAAACCTTTGCTTTAGCTATTCCATTTCCACTTACTCATTCGTCTTTTAAACTTTCCTTTCATTTCTCAGTCCTTTTATTTTGAATCTTTTAACATGAGAAGGAGACATGTAAACTTCTGCGGGCCTCAATCAATGATAAAAATCACTGGAAGACTCAAACAAAATGGCAACTATCTAAAGAAGCGGTTTCCAGCCTGACTGAAATGATGCTTCGAGATTTTCTGTTGTGGTCATGAGAGCTTTTGAATGTTCACATCAACATGACCGTTCCAAACTCTGAAAAAGGCAAAATCCGCTAAAACATTACCTATCGTGAAATGAACACTACAGTAACAACCACGTGTTTGCTCATCAAGAAACAGCAAATTCTTGCTGAAAGAATTTCGGATAATTAAAAATGAAAGCTACGTTTCCAAGGCAACGAATCGGCGCCGGAATAACGCTAACACCGAATTCTACTGTTGCAACAAGTGAAAGCCATCAAACTTGAAGTTAACGTCGATCTGAGCTGCAGAAACAATTTGCGAACAAAATATGCTAAATAAGACATTAACTCGACATTCACACAAAACCGTGTTGTGATTTCCTCTCTAGCAACAGTCTCGAGGAGGGAAGAACGAACGCGTGTGGAAACGTTTCTTCTTAATTAAAAACAAGGAAAACATTTTCTCTGTCAGTGCAAATATGTGAGAAAAACAGTCGAAAACAAATGACCCTTACATGACTCAGTCGGTCAATTCAACCTCTCTCAAAAATTTAAATAGCAAAAAACATCGTATGTTTTAGAAGTTAATAACACTGCCACCTGTAGGCCTGCATGAGAACAGCTGGTCCCAGATATTTATCGGCGTTCCACCAATACGACGGACAAGATGTGGAGCAGCAAGCGCACAAAATACATTCGTACAGTCCATCCTAGAACAGAAATGAATACGTTACATCTTCCCAATCATAACCAATTGATCATCACCATTGGTCCGCTTCAGGCAAACGTCTGCGATGCATTAAAAATATGTTGAAACGTACCAATGTGTCACGCTCCTTTATACTCTGAAATAGCTGCTTTTCACCTAAAGTAAGACTCGATTTCTTTTGAAGCCATGGCTGAATTGATCTGTACTGTTCGTAAAACAGGTTCATATCAGGAACAAGGTCCTAAAAACGGCCGTGACTTTTGAAAACAGTGACATTTACTAGCGAAGACACCAAAACAACTTCTATATCTCACTTTGACAACGAACATGTGAGGAAGCGGGTAAATCTTGGTTGATTTACTCGTGTCACGATCGATTCTGCAGATACAGGCCAACGTGTTTTGTCCGCCAATATTCATCGCGCATGATCCACAAATCCCTGGATTACGTTATAAAAGATATTTGACTCTGTACTTAATTTAAAACAGTACATTCTAGTAGGAGGTGTATTTCGTACTACTCAGTTGATGGTGTATCGGTTAGATATATACCCATGCTGTGTTTTGGGATAGTACTCCAAGGATCTCATCCACATCTTAAACGCTAACTCGTCCGCAATCAGATCAAGCAGCAAATAGTACAAATATGAATTGGTTCACCTGCAGCACCTTTCGCCCCCTTAACCTTCGAGTGACTCGAGCGGGCGCAAGTAAATCTTCCACTTTTCCCTGTCGCGCGCAAGAGTAGCCCAGTGGGTTCTGCTCGCTCTAGGGGCTCTTCGAGCATCATATCCTTCTTCAAGGCTTTTGTGAAGAACCCTGGCCATCGGGTCGGTGGTCTTTCCTCTGCTCTTGCCCATCGGTTGTCATTCATACGCATTATGTGTATGGCCCACCTCATCGACAGTTTGGCGTACAGAACGGCACCTTTGATTCGTGATCGTTAACGCAGTTCGGAGCTTCGGATCCCATCTCTTACTTGTGTAAAAAGGGACACTCCTAGCATCGTCCTTTCGAATGCGCGTTAGATAACGCTTAGTGATCTTTCATCCTGCCTATGCAGCCACCAGGTTTTTGAAGCATATCTTGAGACAGGAAGTATTGTGGAGTGGAAAAGGTGGGAATGGAGTCGAATGTCCTTGTTCTCTTCACTATATCCTCGATGCGCTCATTTACTATGTTTATTTCCGACCGTAACTAGAACAATCGGAGACATTCATTACATAGAGCGTAAATAGCAACCGGTCCTTTCCTCATGAACATGAACATGAACGTTGGCTAACGTTTGCTGTTATAAGAACGACGCCGTCAGCATAGCAAAGATGATGTAATTGCCGACCATCTACTTTCACTACCATGTTGTCGATATGTTGGCTTGACGTTCTGGAGGGTGGCGGTAAATAGTTTTGACGAGATGGTCTCATCTTGCTTTTTTGACGTCGACCTTACTATCGTTGTAGAATGGCGATATTTTGGTTGTGAAAATTTTGTACAGCTCATGAAGAATCTTTATGTACTGAGTAAGTACTCCTTGACTATAAAGGGCTTCCATGACTGCTTCTATCTCAACTGAGTCAAAAGTCTTCTTTAAATCGATGGAAACGAGACAAAGCGGCCTTTTGAGCTCTCACGATACTTCAATGAGTTTTCTTATCGTGTGGATGTGGTCCATTGCACTAAACCCTTTTCAAGATCTTGCTTGATCATATGGCTGCCATTCGTCCAGTTTTCTCTTAATCCTGTTTAGGATGACTCGAGTGACAAGTTTTTATACGAAAGATCGCATTAATTCAGCGCCGATTTGCAAAATTTCTTCGTCGCAAATTCGACATTAAAGATGAGAAAGGTCGCCGAGCGCAACTGGCGACAATGAAATGAAACCCTTGAAGGAGGCAAATATAAGGACAACTGTTCAAGAAATTGCACAAATACTTGTTGTAAGGAATTCAATTGAATTGGAGTGTTTAAAGAGTATCGACTTATCGAAGAAGCTCGACAAGCAGACGTCGCACGAATTTAGCGACCCTTCTCTATGATAAAACGAGGCCACACGTCGTGCACAACTGTTGCAGCAAAGGTTGAAATAGCTGGTCTACGAAACTGTGTCTTATCTACCACGGCAACTGCACTACTGGACTAAAGACTACTAATTGTCGACAACTTCCTTTAGGCACAATGTATCAGAAACGAAATGTTCACGTTGAAATCACGTATTAATTTCAGAACAAACTAACACATGAAAACCAGAAAAAGCCAGATGGATTGAAAAAAGGCAATCTAGAAAAATGATCTACACAGAACTGCACTAGAAATTTTTAATTTATATTCTTTAATTTCTGACGAATAAAAAGCACAGGTATCAAGACTTTCTTCATTAGTTGGCACATTGCCGATTTTCAACACCTACGCAACAACGGCCAAATTTATGTCAATGCACACTCGATAGTTTTTTAACAGTAGACGATAATTTTTCGTCAATTAGAAGATATCAGCAGTGGAAGACACCGTAGAAATATGGAGGCGATTTTGCTTTAAAATTCCATAGGTATGAATTGTTTGTGTGCTATTATTTGCCGTATGTTAGCTGTTTATTTATTGCTCACTATGGATCATCACATAAACACGTGGCTGTCAGCATTTACGTTTTCAGATTATACTTAAGCGATTCGTCCCAACGGTTTACCACCTCATAGCGACTGCGAGGTGTTCATGGATGTCGGGCTCCGATGTACAGCAGGGTGATTCATTCCCCCGGCAGTGTTTCACAAGCTGAAGAGTCCGGCGTTTCCACCAGGAAGCTCAGCTAAGAGTAAACCAGTACCAGGACCCACCAACGTCTCGGTATCAAACTGGTCGCATAGTGGCAAGTCTCCCTCTGTTTCACAAGGGCCTGTGGTGGTAACCACATGGGGCAGATTTTCGCCAGGCTGTCCTCGGGATTCCAAGCAACCACAATAGCTAAATCTGCAAAACACCGAAAAATGGAAATTAAGCTGCGTCCTGCACAACTAGTGAAGACGGGCCAACTAAGTAACCAAGCAAGGAAGTGCTTAGATGACTTCCATACTTCTTATACTCACTCATTCCATACAGTAATCACCATTCATCATAACGATTGCGAGCAGAAAAACAACCAATTACAAGTCGAATTAGTAGTCAGTGAACTCGTCTGAGAAAACATTTTTTGAAAAATATTAGTTGTAGATAATAGCGCTCAATAGGCGACAACCGCCTGTGTGATGGATATGCTATGGAAAAATCACATGTGGGAAAAGCTTTCTTGGGCCAAAATACACAACCGAAAAGAATCCCATACAGACATCCACAGAGATCAAACCAGTCCCAATGCATTTTATCAATATATTTCATTAGTAAAAACCAATGCAACAATTTAGTTCCGCTCAGGACAAAACCATTAATTAACAAAAAATGTACCCTCACGGCAGCTCCTTCTGAAGGTGAGAGTGGGATCTATTTCTGTCTTGATTTTGATGAGCGCATCCAGAACCATGAATCCACATTCGTTCAGGTCGACATCATACTTCTAAAAATAAGTTTTTTCTTAAAACATCGCGGGTCATACGATATAAACATAAAAAATTAAAACAAGCGAACTGTTGCCTTTCAGGAAACATCCGCTTGAGTAAATCTCAGCACTCTCCATTGGAATTTAAGATAAACATGAACTACAGTTTTCTGGAGTTTATCTAGATATTCATGCATTCTTAACACAAACAGCTTTCCTCTTTTTTATGCAGAAATAAGATCTCCAAAAATAAGGATCCCAGTGAAGAGCATTCAGGAACCTCTCATACTACTGGATCTCGCTAAAGGACTAAATGCTAATGATCTAATAAGAAAACACATGCCTTCATTTCTGGTTTCGATCCCGGTTTATCAGGATTGTAACGATAAATTTCGAAGGTCTTCACTCTCTTGCCGGTTGGTTTCGATGGTGGGGCAGATGAAGCAGCACGTGATGCCAGCCACACCGCATCTCCACGAGCCAACACCAGGGAACGAGCCAACATACTGAAACTTGCCACGGTTATTACTTCCTGTTACTGTGGTATACTTCAACGCCTAGTAACTCGAATTAGGAAGGACATGAGTCCCATGCAGAATTGGAACCTTATTAACACAATCGTTGCCTTGATCTCGAATCTGAGGTGAGGATAAAACGAAGACTCTCAACCAGCAGAATTTCTCTCGAATACTACAATATGACGCCACAATATACACCGCAGCGCAGCATCACAGAGTGCACCGCTGGTAGAGAATCTTGCTATGCTTTTATAATAGAAGGAAAGGCCATATTCAGCTGTGGAGAAACGGGACAGAACAGAGCACATGTTATAAGGTCATGGAAGACACGAGCTTCTCGATATAGCTGACATCAGAGCCAATTACTGCAGTCTCTGTATTGCACACACCATGTATTTAAAGTACCTAGCACTCCAGTATTTATTTGAAGCGAAAACCGAAGCCCCTCCACGAGACATCCTTCAGTACATTTGAAAACTACAGATCATTTAAAATCCACATACCGATATGCCAACAATACTTACTTGGATACGTTCTACTTTCTTACCTATTGGCTACTAAAATTTGCATGGCGGAGTGCTATTGGAAATCAACAATAACGATGCTGAGATATTGGCAAAACTTGGACCCACGATTTTCCTTTCGCTTGTCAACTTACTTCGACACTTGGACCGTCCGTCCTCAATAGTTGTGCGAGAACTACCAAAATTGCCATTTTCAAAAGCCTTGCTGGTTTAACCGTTGTGGCTCCCTGGAATCCTGAGGTCAGCCTAGCCAAGCTCTGCCACAGGTGGTCACACCAAAGGCAATCGCCACCATTGTGGATCAGAAGGAGATATGCCACCATGCGACTAGTTTCACACCAGGACGGTGGTGGATCCTGCTAACACTCCTAACACGGCTTCCTGATGGAAACGACAGACTACTTCTTAGCTTGGGAGGACTTGCAAGGGGACGAAACTCACCACTGCACATCACAGCCCGACACCCAGGAACACCTCCCAGCCACGATGAGGCGCTAAACCGTTGGAAAGTATGGTAACAGTAGTGCCCAAAAAATCGAAATGCAACTAGAAAACACAACAAAACCGGCATACTATTCATCGACTGCTTAGCACTTGCGACAAAAATATTAGTGGATACAAACATTTGCCATCGGATGCAGATAGATTATTGAAATGGATTGCTCAATGGCTGTAAAGAGTTACCTACATGCGAGTGGGCTTACTGGCTTACAAGCGGAATGCGCTTTACGTAGCGATTCGGTCTAACTGCACTC